AAGAAATTTATAAAATAAATCACTGTTTTTACCACCTTTTTCAGATTTTTATACTTGATCTAATAGAAAATAAAAGATATACTTGAATCCAATGTTGTAGTAAAAGCGAAAACAAAACTTTCTCGCGTGGTGTTCAATAAACAATACAAGAATTCCCGACAGTAAACAGGCATCATAGGGAGATCACGCATCGAAATCTTCTAAGCAGTGTTTCAGTTATTCAGCGAAAAATACATTAATGATTGCTAGTTCCTAAATAGGTATAAAAACCACTTGAAAAATCACTTTACATTATCACTTGAAAATTCTCGTTAAGAATATTCCTTTTGAATCAACTCTTTGTATCTGAAATGACTTTCGCTAAAACGACGTTCAAATCATCTGGAATGATGATCTCAATTGTAATAATGCAGTCCAGGCTTCATTATATATTAGATTTTCCTAGGAAAGTTCAAGGCCTGAGCTCGATCAAATATTTTTGTATAAATGCTACAGAGCAGCCGGTCAGACATATCATTCATTGATGAATCAATGCCTAATTACATTCAAACTAAAATAATTTACGAAATACATCATAAAATAGTAATTGATGTTACAATTGCAATTTACCGTGAGGATTTAAGATTCAATTGCCACTTATTTTCAAAAGTTGTTGCTCTGAGAACTCTGATGCAACAAGCTGCATGCAAGCGCTGCAAGCTCGAGCGGTAGCGCTTCTCATAAGCTAACAGGTTATTATGAAGCGTAGAGCCTTCGCTCTCCTGTTCATTAAAGCTTAGGAATCTGCAGTTCATCGCTAGGAAGGAAGGCTGTAACCTTCAGCGTAATGAAGGCTTTGGCTGTCAATTAACTTGTGGGAAGAATGCATGGTCAATGTGAAATCACGAACTCGTACGTCACAATTATACGTCACGTTCACAGTTATATGCCTTAAATGGTATCGCGCGTACTGAAATTTTATAGGCAATCAGTTGCGGCGTATAAATGAAAGCAATAAAATGTGACGGCGATGTCAATAATATATGTTTGGTGGATTGATTTCACATGCTGGATAATTATGCCTGAAAACGAAGATGCGGTTTCTGCATCTCAATCATATGCATATTCAAGTATATTGAATCAAAACAAAAATAAATAACGAATTTTACCCCAGTAAGTTTATTAAAATTATTCGAACTTATATTATCAGTCTGCTTATATCGCAAGTTCACAAGGAATTTAAAAGCAAAGAAAACACCAAGCAAATTCACCATATCAATATTGAAAACGTTTCGGAGTCCAGCTCCGAAAAGTACATATTTTTTGAAGTCCAGCTCCCTCGTACATATTTTCCACGCATTCATGAGGCAACATTCCTTATCTGTTTTCCCTATACTTCTCATGGCGACGATTTGAAAGTTATTTCATAAGCAAATATCGGCTGTCTTTACGGAACATTAGTCCCATTCACCGCACTGCTTTAAACAAACTTTCATTCTTTGAAAATTAATCGATTTGGATTTTGCTACTTACTCATTCAATCATGAAAATGTTTATTCTCAATGTTTTTTTAACCTTAACTTTATCATTAGAGATAAATCACATCTGAATCTTCACCCATCTATAGATTTTATAACCTAAAACGTTAAATCTTCAAAATCATACGAAAATCATACCATAATCATAACGTAATCATGCCATATTCATACTATAGTCATAACAGCATCATACCATAATCATACCATAATAACATCATCCAAATATAAAATAATCAACATAATACATAGCCCACTTTGGATCAAGCATATCTCCTGTTCAATCATAAGCTACGTTGCAATAACGATGCAGTTGGAGCAAAGATCTTCTTAGATATTCAACAAGTGAAAGTGACCGATCATATATTAGAGCGGTGGCAGCAACAGGTGAGTTGCAGATTCCTTTTTGGCATATCGAGTGACATCGAATACGTTGCAAACAAAGTTTTTTAGAACAGAAAGTTGTGCTGGTAGAAATCAGAGCATTTATGAATACCGGACAGTTATAATTTACTGCGAAGTTCCTCTATCAGTGGCTCACTAAATTGTCCATAATTATTTACGGAGTTCCACGATAACGTCAATGAATCAAAATTTGCGCATCAAACCTTACGAAAATAAATAATTAAGAATATCAATGGCAAAAATAAGTTAGTCTGGAAACATGCAATGAATGTAAATATTAATATCAAAGATAACCATGTTATAATTAAACAGGAAAATTATTGCAAAATTTTCAAAACGAAAATTTGGTCCAAATGAACAATTAATGAAGACTATATTAAGAAATTTCAATCCAATGAAGATAAACAGAAAGTAATACCATGAATAAAGTTGCAAATTGTTTGAAAAATAATGCTGATAATTAAAAGAGTAATTTCGTACATATCATTACATCCGCAGCATCTGCATACCATGGACACAAAATAACCATAAGATACCTGCTAATTCAATTTTCTGGCGTCATCCCTCAGATCGATGCTCCAGTCAAGTCCTTTTACAACGCGTATCTAGTCTACCAACTGACACATTGACTGATTCACTCACTTCAGTTTGCTAGAATAATTACTATGAAAAGTTGCGCATTTCATTTACCTATACGATAGAGTTGCACATTTCGTTTACCTGCACGATAAAGCTGCACAGTTCATTTACATGTACGATAAAGTTGCGCAATTTATTTACCTAGACGATAAAGTTGCGCAATTCATTTGCCTATACAATAAAGTTGCGTAATTTATTTACCTAAACGATAAAGTTGCGCAATTCATTTGCCTATACGATAAAGTTATGTAATTTATTTAGCTATAAAATAATGTTGCGCAATTCATTCACCTACAATATAAAGTTGCGCAATTCTTTCATCTGCAGAATATCATCAATTGCTGCTGTCAAAAATGAGTAAATGAAAATATTATATTATATTTCAAAACAAAAATATTATTCAATACTATACAATACTTCTCAATCGATTTATCTCTGTGATGATCATGAATTTTGTTTTTGCTGGCCCATAAATTTTAGATTTATTTTTTTTTATTTTATGAACAATAAGCCTTGAAACAAAATATATTCTTAATTCGTACATAAATCAACAAAATTCTTTTATTCGTATGGAGCCTTTTTACGGCTTTTTCATTTTCAATCCAAATTGAAAATAAANATTTTAAATACAAATTGAAAATAAATTTCATCAAATTTAAACAAAAAAATTACTCACTTTTTTATTTTAAATACACTCATTTAAAGAAAATTACCTTTTTACTTTCGCAGGAATTGTTCAAGTCACCGTCTGGTGAGGGGAACATGACGTCCTTTCCCTCTCCACACTCCGCTTGGTAAAGACCTACCTCAAAAATTAATATATTTTTAAACATTATAAAAATAACTTTGCGCCTATGTTGACAAACGTATTTGAAATATTTAATTATCAGGGATACATGGTATAAATAAGGTATATTCGAAAGCTAGGAAGTGAAAGACAGTAATTTAACTTCAAATGCATAAATGTGCGAATGTATATGGCATGTTGAATTTATTATCAGCATTTGGAGTAATTAGTTAAGCCTATATAAATGATTGACTTATCGAAATAATTTGTATTGGGAAAATACTTTGCTTTCCAGTAGCTACACTGAAGGAACCCACATTAAGATAAGTGTACAATTAAGCGGAAGATATGCGAATGCTCCTCTTCAATGGCTAGCATTATGCTAATTCACTTCAAAAAGATGATATCGTTTATAAATTTAAGAAATCGTTTCTAGATTTTAATAACGGATAAAAACGTTGTTATGCGCTGCCAATAACTTGTATGAAATTTAGTGCAAAATTTCTCAGATATAACAATCAATTAAATTTTTTAAATCCAATAATTTTCAAAATTTTGTCGAACACACGCTGCTTTTGGACGGCCTTCCCGCGTCACTTCAGCCTGTACAAGACGCTAATGACCTACAAAGAAAGTGAAAATTTCTGATCAATCAGGAAGTAAAATAACGATGACTCATCATCATCTTGATCATCACTCACGACCTGGAGCTAAAAAGCGAGTCAGTGCTGGTCTGGTCACAAGTGAATAAATGTGCCTTTGGTTTATTATATTTTTCCCTCATAATTGAATTGATATAATTAGAAAAATTCTTCTATTTCTCTACCATATATAATTGCCAAATGTCTGCCCAATCTTTTAACATTTCATTCTATTGTTCTCTCCCTCAGTTTAAAATAATAATATTTCTTATCCAACCTTTTATATTATTTACATAGCCTCAAATAAAATATCATCATTTATAGAATAAAAAAATTCAGTAATTCATCCTTTAAAGCTCATTTAAAGTCTGTCGCGAATCACACGCAGAAGTTTCTCAGCTACGTTGATAATTCTGAATTAAAGAAAAATTTTATCATCTTCATAGCATTTCTCTGATGTTACTTCACTTCTCGCCTGACATTGACGACTTTAAATTTTCAACTGCCTTTGAAACTCCTAAATTTGAAACTCCCAACTGCCTCGTAAAGAACTAGTCAAGTACGCTACCTTCCTCCCATAACTGAGATTAAAAATTTTCCCTTCCCCCCCTCGAAGAACAGGTTTCGACATTTTCCTCTTATATGAAGAATAAAGAGAATTTTTACCCTCCCTTCATGAAAAATTATGAACGTTTTCCCCCCGCCCTTCAAGCACAGAGGGTCGACGTTTCTCCCTCACGGGAGTCAATGTTTCCCTCTCTTCTGTTTCCGAAATTCCCCCCTCTCTCCTGTTTCCGAAATTCCCCCCTCTCTCCAAAAACTGGGGTCTTCGCCCCTCCCATCTAATAACGGTGTCAAAGTTTCCCCCTCCCTTGAGGGACGGGTCGAGGTCCCCACCTTGGGATGGGCTCCTTTCCCGCACGCCCGAAAGTGTCAGCTTCTTGGCAGCAAAACCTGATCCAAGAAGATCAGGTCGTGGGCAGGCAGAGGTAGCAGCAGCGTCGAGGAGCGCTATATAAAGGCCGCCAGTGACCTGACACAGCATGCACTTGTGAGCCGCCAACCGTGCAAGCAACACCACACAACATGAAGCTCCTGGTGAGTAGTTGCTACATGCATTCATACTCACGGTGATGCAGGGAATAAACTTGGATAAATGATGAATAGAGTTCGGTTTAGATCATTTACATAATGTAGGGTGAGTCTAGAGAATAAAGTGATTTCTAATATCATATGCGTCAGTGTTCGCATAGTTAATTTTCGTTGATTGTCAAACGTTCAGATAATAAATTCATAAATTTGATCTCTTTTGATAAATTCTCCTATAAAAAAATGTTGAGCCCTTTTTTATCAACCACTCAAGGTTTATGAGACGATTTTTAAACAAGTCGTTCTTTATCTTAGTTTACTTGGGTTTTTAGTTTAAATTTACCTGAAATTTTGTTTTGCAGAAATGAATTTGAAAAATCCCTACCAATCTGTAAGAACCAACAAGGGCTTGAATGACCTCTATCACGTAAAATGCTAATTTTAACATAAAAGCTCTATACAAACAGGCTAAATTTGATTCGAGGGATAATACGTAATAACGTCCGAGGAGTGATTTTATTTTTTGACTCCAATTCTTTTAATGTATCAAATTCCATTTCAATACTCTTCGCAAACCACGTTCAAAGACGCATCTTTAATTATATCCCTTTATATTAGCAAAATTACCTTACATAATATATCATTCACTAATCCACCAAACACGTCTAAAATACTAACATTCATTTTATTTTAAAAACTCTTGTAATTTTTCGTAAAAATGTATTTTTTCATGAGCCACTTTTAAAGGCCTTCAACAATAAATTGCACTAATAAAAAAATCAATTCATTTGCGAATTTCTATTCTTAATAAACACTTCACGCACCGCACATAATTTGTCGACACGCCGAGACAAATTTCTGATATTTTCTGGTCAGCACAAATTTCTGGTCAGCACAAAGGAAAGGTGCCTCTCAGGTGTGCAGTATACAAAGCACAGGTCTTCACGGCCGAGTGATCTCAATGCGGTGACTATGAAAGGGAGAGTGAGTCGGGACATTAAATAGTTTACTCTAAAAACTGTGAAACCGTTATTTTTAGTGACGATTTAGGATAAAAATATCTGCGAGCTAGAGGGATGTAATTTTAAAATTGTGAATACTACCATAAATAAATATAATTTGACACAAGTAAAACCTAGCTGATGGATATGAGTCGGGGGGCTCAAAGTTACTCACAATATGGATTCATATATAATAATTGATTCCTAGCAACTGAGATGACTCAAAGCACAAATAACTTTACTCGTTGTGTTGATCTATGTCTCCATGCAACTTCAAATCATTAATTCCATATTTTTTTCAATCAAAACTCATTTCGGATGTTTCTCACTCGAAAATATCACGAATGAAAATTAAATTAATTAATAATATTTTCATCATGCCCACCGTGAAAGTCTGGATTTGATTCGCCTGGGGAGTTGAAATTTACGGGAATGGTGGTTCTCATTCTGTCACAATGTTTAAAAGAACTTTCTGAATATTTTAAACCAGTTTTTGCGGATCTCGCAAGAAGGACGGATTGAAGAAAGGAAAACTTTCCTCCGGCTCCCGGCGTTAGCAAACTTTTCCTTTCACTTACCCAGAGTAAAATATCAGTAACATTTTATATCCGGAAGTCAGTGAGCTGGATTCTGGAAATGCAGTTGATTAAAACTATTCGTCAACATTTATTATTGAGAGTTTTTTTATTGAAACCATGATATTACGCGAAAAATTGCTATGCGACGCCACTTTGGGCATTTCAGCGTTAATATATTGTATTATTTCATTGAAAATTTCAAGACTACAATCCAGGCGCTATGAACGTGGTCGCTAGAAAGCTGCCTCCAAAGTCCGTAACTCGCGCGGTCATCTCACTATTACTTCACAATATGCTAAGAGGTTTATGAATCGAGGCTAATGCCACAACAATGGGCGTAGCTCGTGATAATTCAAGCCAGGTACAAAGAAATGCGTTTAAGGGCTAATGAGGGAAAGATGAAAACTCTCGCCTTCGTAAATGATGCATTCTGTTGTAGCAACAATGCGGCGCTTAGCAGCCGATCGATTCACTTCAAAGAAATGGATGAAACTCTGTGGTCATTTAAAAAATTGCACTACGAACATTAGAGTGCGGGTAATGAATAAAATTTCATGGTTATTATAAATGGGCAGAAGCAATCGACACATTTTTCACCAAAAATTGTCTTGTTGCCTAAAGTTTTCATCGAATTTCAGAGCTCGAGTGGAATTAGGGGCGGTTGATACTACAAATATTTCTCTGGACGGTTTAGTGAAACTTGAAACTCGCCCCAATAAATGTAAATTTGAAACGCCCGACTTGCTCGAGTGAAAGTAGTGCAAGATTGTATTTTTAAAACATAGCTGAATCATAGCGCAGCGGGTCAGAGAAATTCTCTAAGTGGGAGTTCCCAACTTTCCTGACTAAAGACAGGGAAAACTTTTTTCTTGAGATAAAAATTCAATTGCTAGGCATTATATTTTCATTTACAATGAACTGTTTGAAAAATTGAGTAATATCTGCATGTATTTGCGGTGTAGTTTCAGACTAGAAATTCTTGGTCCAAAATTCCATACTCGTAGAACTATTGGAAATCAATCATCAAAATCCGCTCCATTTCCATCAACATTCAAATTCGGATAAATTATATTTATGATACATGCGCACTGTGCACTTCATGTATGGTGCTATCGTTGAAACATTTTCATTTGTTGTCTTATCAGAACAATATTTCGAACCAATTTCATGAAGTGATTTTCTTCGTAAAATTGCAAGTTTACTGATCTTAATGAATAAAAAGAAAAACTCGGTTTTTATATTGGAGCAAGCAATATTTCAAATCATAAAAACCCGATATTACAAGGAAAAATGATTATTTCTGCACTAATGATAACGCATTATAACGTAAAATCAGTAAACATAAAATCCCGGAACACACGGTCAACCTCATTTACTGCAAGCGCCTGCTGCTCTGAATTAGGAAGGCGCTGTCACCTTCAGTCCTGGCGTAATTATGAGACAAGTAAGCCTTACGAAACTGCCACCATTATTCCTCATGTTGGCCTGACTTTCACAAAGTGACTGAAACAGCAGCCAGAGTTGCTGGGATGCAGAGCAGCTGAGGTCAAGGATATCGCGTTTCTGGAGCGGTTATGACTGAAGAATTTAACCCGTGTCATTGCACCACAAGGACTTGCATGCCATCATGAGACTGATCACCAGGCAATTAAAGTGTCGTGTGAAGGGCAAATGAAGGGAATCGTCTCTCAAAACCCGAACATGTCATAAGTACATACAATTTCGATTCCTTTAACGTCTGCTAGGAACTCTAAAAGATACGAAATGATTGATCGGCTAGAAATGCATCAATAAAAAAATTAAGTTCATAAAATGTGCAATAAAATTGTGCAACTTTATCCACACCTCGTGTGTAACCTTCATCAATGTCAGTCTGCTTAAAATAAAAGTTGTTCTCACAAGCCAAAACATGAGACAATGATTGCATCTTTCACTCTTAATGCTACATGCATTGTTGCCAAGGCCATTCATGAATAAATTGTTGCCCATACCATAAAATCTTTGCATGCTCTAAGCAAGCATAGATTTTGTTCGAATGTGATAATTTCCTAACGAAGTGTAAGTAAACCGCATCAGAAAAATTGGCTCATGAAAATGCATTGTAGCACTTGAAACTGCATTTTTCGATTAGGGATAAGTTTGGTGTATATATACTTATCCTTCTTACGCTCGCTAGTGAAGTTCACATGACTTGTGCAATACTAAAAATTTATTCCTCAAAATTATAACTTTGTTCAAGTCAAATTTTTTTTATCTCGTCAGATCGTATCAGTCTTGGTGGCAGTCACCGCCGCCGCTCCTCAGGGATACCAGCCTCCCCGGCAAGGATACAGCCAGCCCTGTGGCCCCGGCCAGGTCAGGAAGGGTGATGGATCCTGCGCACAGCCTATCGTCACTAGGAACCTGTACCTCTACAACGCCCCTCCCCAAAAACTGACTTACGGTCCTCCTCCTTACCTGCCCGACCCCAAGGTGCACTACAACTTCGTGTTCGTGCGCACTCCTGAACAAGGTCTTGGACCCAAACCCATCATCGCACCTCCCCCACAGCAGAAGACTCTCGTGTATCTTCTCAGCAAGCGCCCAGACGCTCAGGCCCAACAGGTCATCGAAGTCCCAGCCAACCCCACCCAACCCGAGGTCTACTTCGTCAACTACAACGAGGGAGAGAACGCCAAGCTACCAGGAGGCATCGACCTGCATACCGCCCTCAGCCAGTCCGCTCAGCAGGGACAGATCATCGACGGTGGTCATGGAGGTGGTCTTGGTGGCGGTCTTGGAGGTGGTCTTGGAGGCGGTCTTGGTGGCGGTCTTGGTGGCGGTCTTGGTGGTGGATACGGCGGTGGTTCAATCGGTGGTGGTTCAATCGGTGGTGGATTTGGTGGCTCCGACGAAGTGTTCGTCTCAGGAGGTTCCATCGGTGGCGGCAGCCTTGGCGGCAACCTTGGCGGCGGCTACAATTAATTTCTTCGACGACATCCGAAAAATGCGAAGTGAAAATTCTCGTCGAAATAATGAAACTCCAATTCTAGAACGTTGCACTCGTTATTAACATCTTTACTAAAGAGATCTTGTATGTATAGATCACAATCGACACATTCATCTAGCACTGATGAAGTCCTAGTGAATCGACATCTCATTATTTATAATCTCTTCATTTCTACAAATATACGATAACAATAACAGACTTCTACATTTATTATCGAAGCCTTATTAAGAGAAAACAAACACAGCGTAAATAAGAATAGGTGTTGAAAAGTGTCTTACATTATGTAAAACGTTTTCAATTCGATGACAATTCGAACTTAAACAGCTATCATATTTTTGTAAATTTATATCTACGCAACGTAAAGAAAGTAAGAGTTCTCTGAAGGATCCATAAAAATATTTAGAAGAGAAAAACAATAGAACAATCGGCAATCTGTTTATCCAATGCAAGTGACATTGACTCAATTTGTTTCGACACAAGCATTCATCATTTGATGAAGATTCATGCTTCGCTATTCTAATCTAACGCAGAAAAAAATGTAGTAGTTCATTAGCTATCAAGGTCGTCCAATTCACATTTTAGCAATTTATCAGGCACTATAGATTGCTCGAAGTACAGGCTATCACTTTTGGCATCTAATTGTCCTTTTGAATAATAGAACGACCGGCCTAATTTTTTATACACTTTAAAATGTTACCAAAATTACTATTTTCTTGGAAAAACTGGAAAACAGTAATTATTTTAGTAAAGAGTGCACAGGAAATTATGGTCGGAAATTTTTTGGGTAGAAAATGATTTCTCCTCAGAAGAGTGTAGGAACTTAGCTTCAGTATCGTTGAATGATTAGCTTCAGCTCGTGCTAAGCTCCAATCTCAAATGTCAGAAATACATCCTTAATGTCACGTTTGTTTTTTATTATTTTTGGCAATTCAATATAAACTCCATACGTATCTTAATTCTATCACATAAAGTAAATATTTTTACACATAATGGTTCCCACAAAATGTATGCCGTGAGAAAAAGTCGCGGGATTTGACCGAGGCAACAGACTTTCAACTCACCAGTGTTGAAACTGACGCTCATAAATTCTTGTATGCACATGGAAACGCGCACTTAACCGAGGAAGCTGTCTAGCTTCAGTGGCAGGAAGGCTGAATTATATATCATGAATTATATAAATTATTATAGATCGTACATAACTCACTTCGCTTGTCTCAAACGTGCTCGAAATCAATTTTCACATGAATTTCTTTAACAATTCGTTCTCTCACTCTAAGATTTCCAGGAATGTGTGGGCGAGCCTCCTTATCGAGAATTATTTCTTACAGAGAATTTATTATATTTTAAAATTAAAAATGTTCACAGTATTTTAAAAAAATGACTGACATTCTCACTGCGAAGGTTAAATTGACTCCGATGTAGGAACAGCAAAGACTTAGGGTCCCAACTATTACAACAACTCTTGTTGTTAGAATTAAATGTTACAACAAGCGCAAGAGGCTCAATGGACAGTAAGATAACTGTTACAAAATGTGCGAGGCTTAATAAGCCACACGGTAATTGTTGCAACATCCGCATGCTGCGGTGGTGGCAGATAGCAGATGCATAAAACCAAACACTTTCGAGATTTTTCACAAATTTTTAAATATTTTTGGTATGATACCCGTTCACTCATCAGGTTTTTCATACAGGCTTTGAAATTACAGCCCATATAACTAGGTTAGACTGATACGTAAAATTGTCAATGGATTGGCTAGAAATGTAATGACTGTCAATCGATTGGCACAGAATTTAACAATCGCCAATCATGTGACTTAAACTACATATAACGATCAGGAATCGATTGTCTCAAAGTGCTAAGATAGTCAATTGATTGGCTCAAGATTCAACGATCGTCAATCTATTGGCTCAAGGTGAAACGATTGTCAATTGATTGGCTCAAAATAGAGAAGGAGCCGACCAAACAAATAGGCTGCAGGAATGCAAATTAATAAATGACTTCCAGGATCCATCGGTTTACTTCTGCCCGAACTTGACAAGGGAAATTTATGCTGTTCATATGTTCCTGAACGATAAATCAGCTCAATATTAACATTCAACTACTACATTCACATTTCATGCAACACATTGTAAAACATTCAACACCCACCTCCAACTTGGTGCAATTTATTGAAAAATGAAATTTATTTTAATAATGTCCTAAATTTCGCAATGTACGGAAATTTTGTAAATTCATCAGAGAGTTGAATGTTATTTCCTGGATGGAATTAAGTCGACATGCATAATGAAGTCAGGTCAATAAACAAAACATTATTGAATTAAAATTCATTCATGAAGTAACCAATTTCGGGTTAATATTATTAAGTTTTTGTTCATCCAATTTAGCTCAATTTAATAAACTTAGCTAAATTTGATAAGCACCTCCGTGGCCCTAGAACGAAAAGTAGCTGGAAACTTTGATAACTGTCGTTTAGCATTCAAGGAAAAAAATTTAAAATTGTATGTGGAATTTCAATTTAAACCTTTTCTTTCAATATATGCTGAAATTTCTTGGCAATGGTTTTGCTATCCAATTTTTATTTAATTTCCTTTAATTTTCGATCTAGGTAAATTTTGATCCTAAAATTTATTGTGTGCTTTTTGACGGTTGTGCAAAACGTTATACAAGACATTCATGCGCTCTGCAACGGCAGGTCCTGAGATGCAAAAATTAATTTACAAGAGAATGGGCACTAACCGGGCATTGGGCAATGGTCCGACATGTAAAGCAACTGATTTATTCAACCCTATACTTAGTTTCATACTTTTGGCCGTTCTCGCAGATTATTAGAAATATTTGCAAAGAAATTCCACGTATAATATTTTGGCTTTTATTTCATCGTTATTTCTATAAAGTATAAGAAAGTTTTGACTTCGATGACTGAATGAACAAGAAGCGATCACCAGTGATCACGTCAGCAAGGCTTCCATTAACTCTAACACATCAGAACTTCAAGCACCGACAAGAAAAAATTAAGTTAGCAAAATAACAATTTATTCATTTAGGCTTGATTTAAATAACGAAAAATTAGAGCAAAAATCGATTATCTTTTCTACAAGCGATCGTCAATTGATCATATTACCATAATACAAATAAAATAACTTCTTAATAATTTGATCAAGAAAAATGGGGTCCCGGCATTCGCATTAATATGTTGAAGAAAAATATTTTTACTTTCGCTGGTTAGACAGATCGCTCTCATGTTGCTAACCGTATACGTGCGCATGAATATCTAACCGTGAAATGAATACTAATATATCATCCAGGAACGAATACGGTGAAAGTCATGAATTCTAATCATCTCACAAGTGTAGAAAACCACTGCAGTGAAATATCTAACTCACAGTGTATTATTATACGCTGCGTGAAAGCTAAATTGGGGAATGAGTCGAGTTTGCTACACATATATTAATAAGGGATTAATAAAAAATTCGAAAATTCGCCTGTAAGAAATTTCAACTTTTTTAAAATCAAAAAATTTACCTAACTTTTCACTGGAAAGTTAGTCATCTTTCTGCGAACCGGAATGTTGTTTAAAGGTAATTAATCGGCCTGACATTCGTCTTTGAATAATTATTGGCTGAAATTTTACCCGAATTTAGACATCGATGGCTAAGATGTGAGTTAAGCACGATTGTTGTATAACATCGACTGTGATTAATAGTAACGGTTAAAGCAAAGTTAACTTTTCCAGCATGGAGACTTATTACTATGTGTTCAATCTGCTTATAGAAAATAAAATCTCTTTTAGATCATAAATCTAAATCCACTTGATTGATTGGAAATATTACTTTCAACTTTTGATAGAAACTGACGCTAGAGAATGACCAGCTGCTGTGTTTATAATTGACGACTATGGTAATTTCAACACTGCGCAGTGAGCAATTTCTTTCATGAGGTAGCAAGAGAGAGAGAGAGATGTAATTCGAGAAAAAAGTTTGAGTAATTATAGAGTTATCTATGTAAGCGATAGAAATTTTACTATTTAAAGAGTTGGGTCAGATATATGAGTTTAAATATCACACAATTTCCTTCATAATACAACCAGCTTCCCCAAGTTAAAATTTGGAATTTGAGCTTAATTAACATCACTCAGTGATCACACACAAGTTACACCATACAATTTACCAGAAGCAGTGATGCACAGCAAAACGATTCTAAATGTAAATTTAATTGCATGGAAAATACTGCTACTTTATCACCTAAAATTTAGGGCTACACTATCCCGTGGCAGGTACTGCTACACTTCACATGAAATTCACTGTTCCACAAATCAATCATCGGCAACGACAACAGTAAGAACCTCTTTCAGGAAGAGGTATACCATGAAGAAATAATAACGAAAGCTGGGAATTAGTCGTAAAAAGTTAGGAATCGTAAAATTAGTGTAAAATTAATTGTTTACGCTGATTCGAGTTGGAGTAAAGAATCAACAAATAAATTTTTACAAATTGATTAGTAACAATGAAAGTAGTGATGCAAAAGTTTTCGAGACGTACAAATTAAAAAAAATATATGCCTGAAGTTTTGGCTTTCGAATGAAAAACTGGGAGGTAATTCCGATTTCCATACATCATAGCTATGGGACGATATAAATATTGATAAACTCTCGTATTTATCACATCAGATTCCAAAGAGAAGAGATAAATTTAGCTAAATAATTTTCACGATAATCTCAGACATGGACAGGGAGAGAATCTATTTAGGAATCTTGTTATTTAATATAATAACCTGTAGCCTGGACCATTGTTTGAAAAACGAGGATACCTTCAAGCCCCACGCACTTAAACAGCAATTATTATTAATCCTAAATTAATTAGTTCAATTCATGTCCTGGCAAGCCCCACATCCATCAATATCTCTAGCTGCTATTGACCGAATGATCAAAAATCTACCAGAATGAGTCATTCATTCTTGAATTTAGTCGATAGTTGAACTCATGCTTGTACTCTTTAGGCTAAAACCATTCCTTGCTTAAATTTCAGTAACATAAAAATTCCGCGTGTTTCTTGGAACTACAAATTTTATGATAGAATACAATTTGTACTTTTTTTGTACTTCTCCTTGTTGACCGCGGACGTTAGTCTGGTCTCACGTAGAGCGCGACACACCTGATTAAAGTATGTATCAGTAACCCTCAGAAATATATTTTCTACGT